CTAGTAGCAAAGATCAAGGAGGAATCTATCTCTGTTTCTCTTTATGCTACAGGTGTCAAGTCTAAATGGATGGTCGACAGTGGTTGCACGACACATGTCACACCGTTCAAAACTGACTTTATTCGGTATCATGAATTCCCTAAGCCAGGTTATGCACACACGGCCGGCAAAGGTCAGACTATCGAAATAAAAGGTCACGGTGAAATCGCTCTGCAACATCAGCTCACAGATGGCCAAATTCAGCATATCCGGTTAGAGACCGTATTATACATACCAGAAGTGGCAGGACAGTTCTTTGCGCCCAGAATGCCTCTCAATAACGGTCACCGTATTGAGATGGATGGCAAGAAGTTTAAATTACTCCACAGGTCAGACCCAACACAGCGGACAGTTTTAATGGAAGGCAAACATGAAAAGTTGTCAGGTTTATATTGGCTAGAAGCTGAAGTCCTCACCAGGACCAGCGAGATTAAGCCAGGAACATTAATGTCAGTTAAATTCGACGATCCATATACATTGTGGCACCGTCGCTTCGGACACGCCGGTAAGAAGTCAGTAATACAACTTCCTGGCAATGTCAAAGGCGTCCCGGAAAAAATCTCAGCACCAAGCAGGGATACTCCCTGTGATGGATGCAAATTCAGGAAGTTTCATCGCGACACATTTCCTGCATCTGACAGTCGTGCGGATTATCCTCTCGACCTCATTCACATGGATCTTGTCAAATATCCGTCATTATCTCTTGACGGGTACAAGTTTGCCCTAACCACTCTCGACGACTATTTCTCATTTGGTTTAGTCTAGTATCTAAAATGGAAGTCAGATGCCTTCTCTGCCTTTAAGCAATTTGTTGCTTGGGCGGAAACACAGGCCGAGTGAAAGCTCAAGGCTATACATTCGGACCATGGGAGGGGGAGTTTTTAGGCCGTGAATTTGACAATTTCCTAGCAGAACGCGGAATAGAGCGTCAACTCTCAGTGGCGCAAATACCACAGCAGAACGGCAGAGCAGAACGCTGGCAACAGACCATTCAGAATAAGGCAGAAGCTATGTGACATCATGCTGGCATAACGTCTGGATTCTGGAAGCTAGCATCCGAGACAGCAGTACATATTTACAATCGACAACCTCTGTGCCATCATCAATGGAAGCCACCAATCACTAAGTGGAATGGCACTGTTCTGGACGTATCATACTTTTGAGTATGGGGCTGCAAAGCCTATGTCCATACACATAAGGATGCGAGAGTCAATAAACTGCAGCCAAAAGCTAAAGTAATGATCTTCATCAGGTACGAAATTGGTACAAAGGGTTACTGATTCTGGGATCCAACTGCCCGGACCATCATTGTGTCACCTGACGTCACCTTCGATGAGTCTTCCTTCTCCAAGCGAGACGAAAGGCCTCGTAAGCCTGGAACGTCTCAAGATCCAATTCCACCTGTCCAACCCAACCAGCTGAACCCGGATCTAACAAGTCCGGATGACTTCACACCTGATGATCAATTTCCAGACAATGCACATCCACAATTGCAGCAAGACAAACTGCAACAACAGGATGATGACGAAGTCAATGATGATCCAGCTGATTGTTACGAACGATATCGAAGCCCAACACCAGAACCATATTTCATTCCCGGTCCACCTCCTGATGCACCTCTACCTCAGAGAGAACAATATCATCCTCATCAGAGCAGACCACCCGGTCCATCTCGTCAGGCAGCACCACCTGCACCTGATATTCGGCAACAATGGAATCTCGAACCACAACCTGTGCCATATCCGGCCAGACCACAGCATAAGAATGCAGGCCAATGCCATGTTCCCAACAACAGCTATGGAGATGTCCTGCCCACAAAAGCATGGCATCAACAGGAACGAGACATACAACGTGATCAATGAGAAGAACGAGAAGCATGTGAACAATGTGAATACTCTCCAATGGACATCAATGATGAACTCCGGTGGAACATCTTCCAATGGATATGTCATGCTCACAAGCCTGACTCCGCTACATACCGCGAGGCAATGTCTCGCTCAGATGTGAAACAGTGAGAGATCACGATGAAAGAGAAACTTAAGTCTCAGGAGGAGAACTCTACATGGATTCTGGTCAATAGACCGAACAACCAGAGAATTGTAAAGTGTAAATGGGTTTATGTGATCAAAACCGACGGCCACTATAAGGCACGTCTCATGGCCAAAGAATTCACACAGATAGAGGGGATAGATTTTCAGGAGACCTTCTCTCCCGTCGCACGTTATGAGGCTATACGCTTCTTACTCGCACATGCCGCACTCAAAGATTGGGAAATCGAGGCAATGGATATCAAAACGGCCTTCCTGTATGGCGAGCTCGACGAGGAGATTTATATAGAAGGCTTTGTGAAGAAAGGACAGGAAAAGATGGTGTGTCAATTAAAGAAGGCTATATATAGCTTACACCAAGCCTCACGCACCTGGAACAAGAAGCTACACACTATGCTACTCGAGAATGGATTCAAACGCACGCTCTCAGATGCTGGCGTTTATGTTTATCATCATGACAAAGTCAAAGTTTACCTTATAGTTTACATCGACGACCTTCTACCAATGGGTCCAAGTTTACTGGAGATCCAATGAGTAAAGAAAGTTCTTGCGGAGAAATTCCGAATGCGAGATCTTGGAGCCGCTAGTACATTCCTTGGAATGCGGATCACTCATGATAGAAATAAAAAGTGTCTGGAAATTGACCAACAGTTGTATACCGAAGAAATCCTATCCCAGTTCCAGATGCACAACTCAAAACCTTACTGCACACCGCTGCCCGAAAGCATACATCTCAAGAAAGCTGTGAAAACATATACCGCTACCGATGCACTCCGCCATCACTATCAGTCCATGATTGGTAGTCTCATTTATTTGATGATTTGTTCACGACCCGACATCACCTGGGGAGTCACACGACTCTCACAGTACATGCAGAACCCTACGTCACAGCACGTGGAAGCTGCAAAGCACATTTTCCCGTATCTCTGTTATACCACCAAGTATCGTATCCAGTACTGGCTCAAATCAGTCCGGTTTGATAGGGTATTCTGATGCAGACTGGGGCAAAAATCGGGATAACTGGTGATCAGCAACTGGTTTCGTTTTCTTGATGGCTGATGGAGCAGTCACATGGGCATCTCGGATGCAGAAGACGGTGGCAAGATCCTCGACAGAAGCTGAATACATGGCACTCTTAGAGGCATGCTCCGAGTTAGCCTGGCTAACATCACTCCAAAATGAGTTAGGTTACTTTCCTACTGCACCACCACCTCTGGTAGCAGACAACCAAGGAGGAATCTTTCTCGCAGTCAATCCCGCTCACGACCGAAGGCTCAAGCACGTTAACATTTGATATCACTTCATACGCGAATACGTGGAAGAGAAATGAGTGGACATAGTCTATGTCAGTATGGATGAAATGATCGCCGACACATTGACAAAACCACTTGGTGCAATCAAATTCGAGCGCTTCCGGTCTATGCTAGGCTTGGTCTTCAGTAGGTTAGGCAATGACTAGTCGAGTGGGAGTGTCAGAACTTGGGTGATTACGTCATTGCCCTGTACAAACTAATGGGGATACGTCGCATGACCCCCAATTATGTTATAGTAATATGGACTAAATTACTCATGCTTACTGTACACGCTTACATACAGGTATTACCATAGGTCCCTTAGTGGTATCAGGAGTCCTGACTCTCATGTATATATACTGGCCTTGTAGCACAGAATACAATAAGAGTTCAGTCGCACTTTCACAATGCATGCCTGACACCTGGAATCCCAGAGCCTTGCACACTTCTCTGTATGATCGTCAATACATACGTTTTCTACCACAGGCCTAGAACGTCTACTTGCAACTGGGCACGCATGTGAAGATAGCATGTGGTGGCAGTCACTGGCAGCTGCGACTTCCTCGCAGGGAACCTGGTCAGAGGCTCCAAGCGTGGACGAGGAGAACCGTGCGTGGAATAGAACAGGCTGTGATTAGGCTGACGTGCTTTAGACCAAAAACTTCGAAAGCGTGACTACCGCGGACATATAGGGTGACGGTGGTGGGGCAAGCGCTAGATTGTCATGTGGTTGTAAACATTGTATTCACGAGGCAAATGGCTGTGCACCGCAGCAACCATGTGCAGCGCCGTAAGTGCGTCGTCCATTGTTCAGTCTTGTACACCACATTCTTCTCACATCCTCACATCATACAGACTTTGTATGTCTGTCCGGTTGTCATAGAGGATGTGGCACACCACAGGAGCCGATCTGCCACCTGAAATACTGTCATACATCCTGAAGTGTGTCACACTAGCCCATCTCCATTTTAACTTGGACTCGAACATACGGTGCAAGTTGAAACACAGGCTCGCTGCCCCCAGCATCGTATGCAAGCACTGGTCTGAAGCGATCGGACCCATCCTCTTCCAAGAACTCGAGTTGCGCAGCCCCAAAGATGTACGGTTTCTAAAGAACATTGTCAGCAGTCCCAGATTTACAATGTTATGTCTGTCCGGGTCCTTCAAACAGATCATCATTCGTCAAGAAGCTACGGGGGCAAAGCCCTGGCTTCACCATGTCTACGGACTTTTAACCTGGCTCCAGAAGACAAGATTTGACTGTACTGCTGTGACCCGCACAGGCGATCCGGCACCAACGGCCAGCTGTTGGGCCCCATTTGACTTGGTGCCCACCGTCACTCCATCCTACATCTGACTTTCCATCCTCACTCTTTGCGATGTTGTAATCACGAGCAAGACCGAGCTTGCGTGGCTCGTCAACAGGTTCCCCACCCTCTCCAAATGCTATTGCAAGCGACTCACCTTCCTCGACCCAGCGCCGGTTGTCCAGTCACGCAGAATTCGGCGATGAGCCCCACTGGCGCCCCACTTCCTCGAGTGTGAGATAGAGCAGTGTAATGATATGGTGGTTTCCGTTCAAGTGGTACTGGCTGCTGACATCATTGCGCCCGCTTGCTGCATGGGCCTTGACAACTGCATGTGGGACGGTGCCCTTCGGGGACTGCTTGTGTTGGTACCAAATGGACCTGGAAAGGCAGCTGTGTATCTTGATGACTGGAATGGCAGTACGTTTGTTAGATCCCCTAACTCATGCAAAACAGTGCAAAGCTCACTGACTCACCAGTCATGACAATGATCAAGTGCTCTTTGTCCATAGATGACGGCTACTCCGCATACTACTCCATCCTCGCTGAAGTTAAGGTCTGTCGACCAAGTGCGGGCCAGAATGCGGGGCCCCCGCTCGTGCATATCGAGAGCATCATTCTCGCAATCTTGTTTAGCAATAAAGAAGCTCTGGATGCCCTTACTTGGGATGCCTTGTGAGCCGTCGTTGATTTTCCACATATGCGCTGCCTTCATATCAACTATACCGCCCTGGGAGTCAAAGACGAAGAGACCACGAAGAGGACATTGTGCTCTGTGTTGCGCTGCACGCAGCTGACCTGGGCTCTCCAATTAGGGAAACTGCAGTTCAGGGGTCTCTGTTCAGAGACTATTACGAGTCCAGATATCTTGTCTGTCCTGATGGAGCATCCCATTGACGGCACTGCAATTACTATCGACATCGCCGAGCAAGCCGAGTGGTTGATGTGCCTGGGCCACTACGCCCCTGGTCAAACCACAAAGGAGCAGTACCTACAAAAGCTCGCAAGGGCCCGTGAGCAGAGTATCCGCAGACACAGCCTCAGGAACCACACCTTAAATCGCACATAAGCAACAACGGTCGAGTAGACATGGGAAGCTGCAGGAATCCATGGGCTGGGAGATAAACAGGGCGAGGGTGCCAGCAGCGAAGGAAAAACAGAGTGTGAGAGAGAAGGCATAGGGCAAGCATGCACATCGAGCGCGGGTAACTTGCGTCGTCGACAGACTGCTGCGACTGTATGGACGTTGTGATATGTTTCATTGTATTTTGCAACCCCTGGTTGTATTCATCATTTTCTACACTCAGCCGTGCGCGCTCAATTTGGATCACTCAGCATGAGAACGTAGATACACAATAAGGGAGGGATTGTTGCGATTGCGGATGCACATGTAGAATAAGGAAACAAGTATGGCCCTGTGAAGTGGTTGGAAGCAGATGAAACAGAAGAGAAGGAGCCTCAAGGCCCTGTGCCACAAGGCCAGCGCTCATGAAACGATGCGCCATGCAGTAATATGCCCGGGACTGGCAACTACGCCAAATTTCACTAAATATGGAGTATACTCACCGGCACCCACTGGTATCCAGTGAAGTCCAGTGCTAGTCTCCAGTGGCTGCCGCTGTTGGCTGGTGGGTAACAGTGAGTAACAGTGAATGGCAGTGAGACACACCAGATCCTGCTGGGCTTCACAGGTTGCCACCGGCTACCAGCACACATTATCAGCGATTTGCATCAAACATTGCTCGAAACTGCTAGCGTATCGAGTACCAATATAAATACAAATATTCTTCTGTAATGAGCATGATACATGCTTAGCCACTGGCACCTGTGTAGATGTATATTCTCCTCTGAATTGCACACTGTCCCAGAACTCAGCTCTCACTGAAGTGTCTCTATGCAGTACACTGTCTGAGTGCAAAGGGTGTGTAAAATTGATTGCTGGATGTGTCCCCAAGTGGAAGTAGCTGGAAGTAATTCTTTGAGGCATATTGTACCACACAGACCTGGTTAAAGACTCCTGGGATTTTTTATAAACTTTCTACAAGCTCAGAAATGAGCTATCAAGCAGTGAAGGCAGGCTTCCAGCAGTCACATTAATATTTCAACAGCTATGAACCTTGTTGTTGTGACTCTCAGGAAAATATATATTTTCTGAGTGAGAATATGCATAATATAAGCCATCTATGCACAAAGCATGAGACCAAACCTGCCAGCTACTAGTCTTAAAATGATTTGTTCATGAGAGTTAGCTCAACTTGGAAAGCAAGTCGCACACCATGGCCCAATGTCACACACTTCTGCCCAAAGACCAGTGAAAAATGCAAAAAATTATTATTCAATGACATATATTAACAATAAACAGCATATGTTGATGGATAGTGGCTGCTGCCTGCCAGTGGATGTCACCAGTGTTTGGTGGTGTCTGCTACCTGCTATGTGAATGACCGGACCAA